CACAAGTTGTCTGCTTTGCCAAGCCTTATGTTTTATTTTTCCAGAGTTCAAAATTTATTATCCATTACCGTACTGCACATTTTGCTTTTACCACCAATATGTACTTTTTGATACAGCGTAACTCGAAAACCGTATGGAATACAAAAAAACCGAGACCACCTCCAGTGTTGGGCTTTACATGCTCTACAAAATGCAAAAAAGAATGGGTCTCTAGCATTAACGGTTCCCGAATTAGAGACAGTTTTCAGTTTCGGTATCTTATGGCCGCTACTCCCGTGAAAATGCACCGATTGACCCCAAATTCATGGAGATGAAAGATGACCTGAAGGGTAACACTTTCCAATAATATTATTGGTTAAGTCTGTGTAGTGTCTGAATAACAGGGCAAAAAAAATTTTTTTCGTAAAAAATTTCATTTTTTTGAAAATTTTGGCCCATTTGACCTTGAAGTAAAGGTCAAAGGTCAAATCCAAGGGTATATTTGAAATCTACACATATGACTTTTGGAAAGCTGTCTATAGAAATTTTTCCCATAACTCCTTCCGTAGGGTAGATAATTAGCATTTAATTTTGCCATTTTTAGACAAGGGTGCATTGAAATGAGTGCCACACCCAGACCCCAATACCAACAAAGCCCAAATTTTACGTGGAACGAGTTGAGATTATAGGTGACCTAAATCCATGAGATGGGTACGGGGGCCCTTACCGTCTAAGAGGAGAAGCGGTAACGGTAGCCCTCCGGCGGAGCCAGCGGAGCCGGCGGAACGATCTGGATCGGGACCGAAACCATGTGTACCGCCAGCGCTAACGCTGGTGGTACAATTAACAGAACACTGAATGTTAGTTCAGTATGCTTGTTTATGGATACCAATCCTTTCTTATGCTCCAGTTGATACAAGCCAATTAATTGTTTGAACTAAAATCTAAGTATCTGACATTAAGTGACCAATATGTACATTTTCAGTCAAAATATGAACCCACTTATGAAATCAATATAATGCCACAAAAATTAAAACCTTAAAAATTTAACTAATAGCAGCGAGTAATTAAAGGAGTAACTTAAAGTTACCTAGTCTTCCATGAACTGGAGGTGTTCTCACAGATAATCTGGAGGCCATGGGAGTACAGGGATGCTGCAAGCAGAATTTAACCAATAACTGTGGATCATAAATCATTATAATGTAAAACTCTTTTTACTGAGATGGGCCTAGGCAAAAGTATACCTTTTCTGTGAGCTAATACAGATTTAAACCCCTAACACTCAAATCTACTTTCAAAGTAGACCTCAAAATTTCTTGGTTTCATGATACATACTGTACATTTTGAATAATACATGTGTTTGACACCTGCAGTACGTAAAAGAATAGATTTTCCCTAGTCTATTTTAACTACACTGGCTGACATAAGTGTTAGACATATCTGACTAAATTTAAAGCTAAAAAAATAATATATAATAAATAATAATAATAATGAAAGTAAAATCTAAGCCTTTTTACAAGGTAAAAATTAAATACACAAAAATTTTATGAACACCTCAGATCTTTATTAACTTTAACTAGACAACCTATGACTAAATATACTGTGCATACAGTATTACTATTTTAAGAAAATTAGATCAAGTTTGTTATCAAACATATGTCTGTTTTTTTTTAACAGGGAGAATAGTTCTGCATTCTCAAGTAAAAAAAACTTACAGAATGTGCTCTTGAATTTCCATTTGTGGGCCTGGAATATTGATAAGAATTCAACAGCAGAAGAAAACTGACTGCATCAAAAACATATATATATATGCTTAAGTTCTGTAGCTCTAGCTTCCAGTACTTTATACTGATTACAAATGACCAAACACACCTACCAGTCACTATAATGATGAAAAATTTTTTTCAACCCTATCTGGCCAAAATTGAAGAAAACTGCCAGTGCCAGCCCTTATGAAAATCACTCAAAATCACCCAGAAACACCCCGTCTCCAATTTTTTCCAAACATGATGAAAATCAATCTACCACACCTGTCATTCATAAAAAATGCGTAAACGCGCCCAGATCACTTCTTTCAAGCCCCCAATTCCAGCTTTAAAGATGATCCGAAAATAACCCCTGAGAACAGAATCTGAGACAGGGGGGCTGGCCAGAGTTTTTGCTCTATTTCTCCCTTAATATATACACAGAATGATGCATTTGCAATAGCTAAACAATAAAAAAACAGCTTACGTTTTTACTTGGGTTCTCATTGCTTGCCCATAAAGGGTAGAATTTCCAATAGGAGATTGTGATTGCTGGCCTGTAAACAGATGACTAAATAAATGAACAAACAAACAAATAAATAAATAATATAGGAATTTCTTCTTAATCATATGATATATAACATATTAGACTCACAGGCTCAATGTTTCCTTTTTCTTTTTTCTCTTATTATCATTTATTGTCAACAACTTAACTCACTTATGATGTTATCATAAAATTGTACGTATCAACAAGGAGTTATATAACTCCTTGGTATCAACCTCAAATAATTCAAAGAGGAGAATTGTAAATAATTTTCAGCAAATCATTAAAACAAAACAAAAATGTAACAAACTAGTTATGCATAAGACACATGATCCCACAGAACAATAAAAATATGAATTCTATCAAAGAAGATTTCAAATGTCCATTCAGTTTATGCCTAAGGGACAACAGTAACAATAACAGCACCATTAACTGTGAAACACTACATATAGTCCATCTAGAATATATGCAACAAGCAACAAATAATAAACAGACTCAAACCCCTTGAATTAAGCTTACCTACAGAGTTCATCAGAACTGCATGAGGTGTAGATCTTAATTTTGAAAAGGACAAATATAAATCTATACATCCCCATCTTATAAATATGACACCAATATTATTATAAAATCAATAATTTCCTGAAAGCATACAAAAATGAATGCTGACGTTATTCCAAAAATATTTATCTTTTAATATCCATGTGGTTATATATTATAATTGCAGAATTATCAGGGTAATGCAATGCACATGACTTTGGGAAGTTCTTTAATGGAGGGTTTGGTCATTTAAATTTTTTGGAAGTTCATTGAAGTAACTGTGGGTAAATTAATATGGTAGCAAAAATTTCCACCTAATCAAACGGATAAGTATGAAAATAAATTCATTTAATTTTTAGTGGTTGTATTTAGCATGTTTTAAATCCTGCCAATACCCTAAATTTGTGTAATAGAAAATACAACAGAATATTACCCACCTGGCTGATGACCCTCCTCCCTGTAAAGTAAGAAAATCAGATAGCTGATATATTCACAGCATAATTTTAATATATAATAAAAGATTTCATTTGAAAATAAATTGGACGAAATACATTATTATGTCTTACGATGTGGAACTGTTTCATTTCATAAAAAGTATCATATGTATTGATATGCTAATGGTTTCTATCATTTTATATAATACAGTATATCCAGTGCCAGTAACTTATTTGTATCTAAATAATTTTCCTGTCATTTTGAAAAGATGTTATTACTTATTATAGCAATTATAAATTTAATTTATTACCTGTTTTCTTAAGAGAGCCACTTCTTCACGAAGAAGTTTGTTTTCTTTATCTTTTTCCATAAGTATTGCCATTAATTTGCTCAGCTAAAATGGACAAAAGTGTAAGAATATATTACAAATTTTATAAAAAGCATGAACAATTACATTTTGTATAAATAACATTTGAAAGTCTCAAATAATTTATTTCAATTTTATATATAACGCATACGCGATGGTGATGTACTTCATAATTAACCTCATACTATGGGTCTATTATGTTGTATATAATATTCATACTAGTACACTGCCACTTTAAAGAGTGGGAACTCTTATACCTGTGCCATATACCTGTGCCTGTGACAATTAACCTTAACAAAGAGACCTCTGTCTATCTGCAATCAGATGGCTTGATGACACCACTGAGGTAGTTTTCCAGTTTAAAACTGACCATGTCAGAAAGTAGCATCATATCATATTTATTCAAGACATTCCATTACAGAAACATTGTACTGATATAACAAAATGCTATATTTAACATAAGCACACTAATAAGTCTTTCAGTATTTACATTAGAAAAAGATGGTAAATATTAATTATCATACCTTTTCCTTTCGGTGATAATCTTGAAAATTTAATACCTTGAAATATAGATAGAACTGCAATTGTAGAAATTACACAATGCCGTAATTTATTTTATAAGATTGAAGACCATATACCTCAAAACACTTTACAAAATTAGTCAGTAGTAAAATGGAATATATGACAAACGCAGAGCTGATTACAGATTTCAAATAGGTGGTACAATAAGGACATTACATATATATAAAAAGGAACAAAAGTAGTAAAAGAAAATTGTACCTGAAAAAGGTGGGTTAACTCTCGGTTGAACTCCTTTAGACATCTGCTAATGTCTTTGGTTGGATCCTTGAAGAATTTGCCCACCTCTGGCCTGGAGACAAAAGTCTGAAAGCAGCATTCCAAATTAAATAAATGTATAAACAATGCCAAGAAAATCCATGTTACAGTATTACTTTACAATTAATGTAAATCTAGGCTACAATATAACTCACCATATCCAAAGAGAGTGATCTTGTTCAATTGCAATATAATGATATTTTTAAAATATTTTGCCTAAGATGAAATAAATGGTAAGAAAAAATCTTATTTTAATACCAATTTCTTAAGTGCCTGACAATATATCTTTTTATATACAGCTTATTTAACAAATCATGCACTATTTTATTTTATTTATTTATTTATTTATTTATTTTTTTTTGGGGGGGGGGCTTTACCTGTAGAAAGAAAAGGATAGCAAAGAATACATATGCATATTAAACTTTTACTACCTGTTTTGTTAATGGGACTGACATGCATTTGTTTCCACATTTCTTGCAATTTTCGGATGTTTCTTGTGAAAAAAGAAGGAAAATGTCATATGACTTAAGCTGCAATTATACATGATAATAAATGCAATTTTCTGATGTTTCTTATGAGAAAAAAAAATTTAACACAACTAAAGCACCAATTATACATAACAAATGCTGCACTTAAAATATCATAAAAATAATAATAACAATGACTCATCAAATTGCTATAAACACCACTTTTTATGCAAAAAAAAAAAAAAAAAAGAAAAAAAAAAGAAAAAATGAAAAAAAAAAAATGAAAAGGTCCCTACAAAATACTCTCACTATACCATACCTTTGCAATTTTCACATACTATATGCATGCAAGGGTGCATCAAAAGGAAAGAAGAGCTGCTATTATTTGGTGCTCGTTGACATATCAAACAGTGAATCCAATCAGACATTTTAATTCCTGAAATGTTAATGGACATGAAAAAGGTACATTTTTACAAAACTCACTAATGTTCTACGAATGCCCTTTTTCTTAACAATTTTATGTTGGTCATTAACTTCTACACAATGACATTTTAATAACCCCCCCCCCCCCCCCTCCATTCTATATGAAACTGGGGAAGGAGGATGAACAAGAAACAGCGATACTTATTATCAGGAGTGATTCAGCATCCAAGTCGCGCATGTAATCAATTTAAATTTTCTTAATCAATGAGCTTCATACGTTTCACAAAAAAAGATGTAGGATTTCCAGCAGCGCTTCACCTATTGCAGACGATCTTCAAACCAGCCGCCATAGAAGGTCTCTTTAACCCTTCCCATAATCCAATGCACGAATTAGTAAGAATTAGTATATGTAAGAGAAAAGAAAAGTTGTATAGACTTTAAGTAAGACGAAACAACAAATATCATTTATCAGTATCGAAAAAGAAAAGCTTTCCATTGTTGATTTTTTGTGACAAATTTATCGAGCAATTAGTAAGCGGTTTAACTTCCGGTATAATCAGATCGAGGCTTGGCACAGATTTGCAGACGGGTCAAGAGCTGAGGATTGTGAAACTTAAAAATCACAGTTTTCTTCCGAACAATAGAGTTCTGTGAGACAGAACTCAGAGGAAGAACACCAATATGGCTGCAAGATTTCAAGTATCAAAAGCTGAGGATTCGCCGATTGGGGAATCTACCCAAAATTATGGATCGACTCCTGCTACACCAGAAGTCGTAGTGGATTCTGCCGGCAGAAGAGACTACGGTACGCACATTATAAAAAGTATTTGATCACATCCTGAAACGCATTTTCCTTCTTTTTATACTGGTTTTGTTAGGTTTAAATCAAACCACTATTAACAGTAGAAAGTAGAGCTGCCTTTGTGACATTTTGACATTATTGACTATCTCGGCGTCTCATATAACAAGCCCGAATCTTTTTACATTTAGTTTGTAAATCAAGAAAAACCATATTGCAGCACTACCCTAGTATCCAATCCATAAAAAGAACGTTCCAGAGGGGAAAAATTCCAGTTATTGTAAATTTTATGTCTTTTTCTTTTAAGTTTCTCATGATTGCCATATAATATGACTCATCATTCATTTTTAGCTCTTTAGCAACTGAAAATGTTTGTTGACATTCACCTTTTCAGCACCTAATTGGTTTCATCAGTTTAAATGTTAATGTTTTCTACCTAAGGGTAAAGTATCATGGTTTGGCTTATTTTGATCTGAAGAGCTCTGAGCAGAAATTTTAGTGGTCAAGGGCATATTTATAATGTCACTATATAACTTAGTTATTCTAGTTCAGCAGGTTAAAATAATCTTGAGCGCTTTGGTCATTTGTTGTTGGCAAATTTTTAATATATCATAAAAATTGTGATAAAATTCAGGTTGGGACTACACACAGTTTTGTATGTAAATGAGTATTACATTTTGACTATCAATTCCATTTCAGGAGTAATGCTATTTTTAAAAAAGCTAAGGACAGGTAAACAAAATTTATACTCCATTCTAAGAAGTATAATGATGATAAACCAGTTCACATTTTTAATGTTTTGTATATTATTAGGGTTTTGGTTAGCACAACTTGAGGGGACCATTGACACACTTTTATGAAATATGACTTCTTTTTACTAAATACTGTGGCTCAAAGTGATATAGAAGTTACCCAGTTTTCTTTTTAACATAAGGTGAAATACCTAGGGTGAAATATGATTCCTGAGTTTAAAATCTAGTTAGAAACCATATGTATTGTTCTCTTCACTGCATGGGTATACAGATGACTTCACAAGCATTTCTTTATTCATGTACTTTAGTTAAGACTTCTCATTCAATGCTAACAAATTATAAATTTTTTGGTATTCAGGTGCTGGAAAAGGCTAACATACTAATAAAAAATTCCACAAATATAGTTAAGACACCAGTTAACTAATATATCTGGCATAAACAGTGCCAAAATTATTTTAGCCTACTAGTAATAATACTTGTTATGGAGATCAGGTTCTTGGATTCCACAGACCCAAAACAGAAATAGTGGTCAGTAAATGAAGAGCTAGATGTAATTTCACTGGTCTGACTGTTGTATTTGGCATGATGCAAACTAGTACCAACATCAAAGACTGTATAAATATAAAATATTCTGCAGTGGGCCAAGTTTAAAGTATGTTGTGAACTGTCTAAAATTACCTTAAAAACCTGCTGCCAAAATTAACACTTTGTTGAGTATATTCAAGCAGAAAAGTCACTTAAGTTGCTAAAAGGCAGTGCATATCAAGCAATATCTGGTGAGAAGGGAATTTTTATCTAATAGACAGCTACACTGTAAGTGCTTTTTGATATATATTGAATTTCCCCTTGTTTTCTGAATACAGCATTTTATAGAGTTACAAGACTCATGCAAGTTAGTAGTGGATATTTGTGCTAAATGCATTGACTGAAGAGAAAATATGAAATTCTTTAGCATTTTTGGAATGTAAGCAGGGGTTCTTTTAGTAGAAAGACAATATCTGACTGACAAATTTGACATACTTTTTCAAATTATTTACTGTAAGTTTCATATAGTGACTAACTGCTTGTGCTGTTTATTAAAGCAATATGTGTATGTATACAGTGTATTTTCAGATGTTCTGGATAGTCTGTGCACATAAATATGCATTGATTTCAAAAGGGGTTTTCCCCGAGTTGATTATTAACGCAATATTGATTAAAAATTTAGCATATAGATGGCAGCACTGTGGGATTCCGATGAACTTCAACCTTGATAAGATACAACCTTCCTATATAATAATGATAATAAGAAGAGATTTACTATCCTCTCATGCTGGCAAGATAGCTATTTCCTCTTGCTAGTTTATATAAAATTTACTTGTTGCATCGGATAGTATTGACAATGAAGTTTGAAACTATACCACTCATTGATGTTCTTGTTGTTTTGAGTAGGTCTATTTTATATTGTTGTTTGAAAAATGGAGTGAAATTTTGAATGTTTCAGATAAATGTTTAGGCCTTTTTATTATACATGTATGGCAACAAAATATATGTATTTAGTCACAGGTTTGGTTTGAGGATAAGCACCGTTGATTGGGTTGATTTCATGTGTCCAATGTGCACATGTATCTGAAATGAGCGATGAATAATAAATGTCAGGATTGGATTAATCTGGGCTTTTCATTTGTTTCAGATATAGGAGAGTCGGATGATTTTGATCAGTCAAGCATAGAAAATGGTATTGAAACAAAATGTGTTACTTTGCAGTTCTGTCCTGTCTTTTTGAGTACCACCAAACCTCTAAGTATCAGTATAACAACCAGTTTGTGTACATACGGAATACATGCTGCTCTCTTCCAGTTTAAAGCAACTTTTGTATGTGAACAGAATTCATAAATATCCAAGTATTGTTTGAATAAGTGAATGAAAGGACATGGTGTTATAAAGTTGAGTTGTTTGGTGGTACGGAATATGAAAAGGATTGTAATTACCTGTAAATTTATGTTGTATTGAATGTCCCTATTTGCACACGTATTATGTCATAATATCTGCATTCAGGTGGTGCTGCATTGCTGCCTGGACAGGTTATACGCTAACAGCACTTTACTGTAGGCTTGTACAAGAGCTTGCGTGAGAAACTGCATGGCTTTTGTACAGATTGTCCAGTAAGAGCTAAATGCACACACCTTTGGAAGCAATGGAAATTATGCTTTACATTGTATTTTTTTTCCCTCAGATTTACTTGGGCTAATGCTAATTAGTATCATGATGACATTTTAGAGGAGAAGAGACTTATTAGTAAATAGTTGAAGAAAGTTGGTTTGGTGTATCACAAGTGATGTAAAGTGCAACATAAACATTATTCCCCAAAATTTCCATAGTTATGTAATATCATACTGTAGTGCATTGGTCTTATTACTTTCCAAACATGCAGAATTCACATGTTAGAAAGAATAGAAAACATTAATTATTTTGTGTGTTTGAATGCCTCGTTGATTTGGATTTAGAATGTGTCCTGAAACCCGGCTTCTTCCATTCCAAAGCTAGTTAATCTGGTAGATACTGGAATTATAGCAACATTGGAGACTCAGAAAATGAGATTATGAAATGGATATATTGCAACTGATTCTTTTTTCCTTTCTGCCTTGGTACCAGTAATTTGAAATTCTTTATTACATACAGGATAAAACAGGAGTTATGACTTGCTAATATTGGAATGAAACCTCTCACACCAGAATCAGGCCTACCCAACAACCAGACTCAGCACCGAATGATCCCAAATTCACTGGTAGATCGGACCACACTACCCGTTTTCAAGTTGTGCGTCGGTACACATTTCGCAGTATCATACCCTGATAGATGAGATGAGATGCACTACTTTCCAACCCTGCTCAGAATCATCACTATCACATCGCGTACTAGGCAAGAGCCATGTCACGTCTGATACTGACGCACACCTTTAAAACGGGTAATGAGGTCCAATCTACCAGTTAATTCAGGATCATTCGGTGCTGAGTCTGTTAGTTATGTAGGCCTGAGATTATAAGGAAACACATTAGGCTACTGTTTGATGCTTGTAAAGATTTTTATTTAATACAACTTTAAAATTTGAGAAATGAAATGTGCATGTGTGGATTAAAGTTTAGCATTCAGGATTTGTGAGACTTTCATTCATAACTGATAATGTAAACAATCTTCAGCGGTTTGAAACTCGTACGTAAGTCTTTGTTTAATCAGTGGATTTTATATGAGAATGTAAACCTAAGAATATGTTGAATGACTTTGTCGCTGAAATAGGGTTGTTTTTAAACAACTATTATATGATGTCAGATATTGACAATAAACATTGCAAAAAAAGTATAACAAAAGTATAATAAGCTTACTCTACAAAAAAATTAACTTGTTGAAAGACCTGACAACTAGCCTTTCAAGAGTTTACATGATTTTTAATTGTATGGTTACATATGCCTGCAATTCTTTGCAAATACTTCTTACTAAAATACACAATAAAAAGAAAGAAAAATAAAATTATTTATCAGTTTCTAGTAGTGTTGGCCTTACATGGGGACAGTGATGTTTGTAATTTTGTCTCAATTTGCAGCTCATGTGCATGGTTTTCTTATTTTCAGTTTTTGCTTTAATTCTGATTTACCAGTGATATGATAACGATACATTTCACTTTAAATCTTTTTGAAAAATTTAATACAGTAACTATAAACAAATGTCCTGTATTTTTCTGTCTGACTTACATTTTTATATCATCTTTCTCTTTCATGATGACTTATTGAACCAAATAGTGGGTGAATACAGAGTCATATATGGTAAATCTTATTTTTTGCTGTGTAAAGGGTGATGTATGTTTTAACTGCTGGTGAAGTCTCCTGCATCACTAATAAGTTTGGAGCACCTTTTTACATTGAAACTGATTTTAGGCCAATTTCTGTTTGTCTAAGACACCATTGATTTCCACTGATACAAATGGCTGCCGCAGTGATTTTTAAACAAAATTGTGAAATGATGTTGTGTTAAATTAGTTAGTTGTTGTGATGTATTGCTTTGGCTTGTTTAGTGTTTTTCTTTTTCTTTTAAATTTTAAATTTTCTTTTTTTTTTTTTTCATTAAAATTTTAATTCATCCTGGGTAACCTTTTTGTAATTTCATGATAGGATCCATTCATTTGGCACGTGGACTCTTTTCATTTGCACTGACTTAGGCTTCGTTCACATGCAATGTCTATTTTCTAAATTCTATTTTCTATTCGCGCTATCTTATGATCACGGTCTGTGCCCTGAATATCCCGCCGTGTAATTACTGGCAGCGCGAGCCAGTTACTTATAGTAACTTATAGTAACTGGCTCGCGCTGCCAGTAATTACGCCGAGGGATATTAAGGGCACAGACCGTGATCATAAGACATACCACGAATAGAAAATAGAAAATAGACATTGCATGTGAATGAAGCCTTAAGAGCTATTTAAAGAAAAAAGTGAAACATCATACCACATGCAATATACTTAAATTAAATATTATATATTGAATAAAAGCATTATTTTGTTTTAGTTAGTAGTGGTAAAAACTAAGCATTAGCTTATAATCAGAATAAGAATTAGAGATGCCAGAAGTAAATGAAAAATATCTGAAGTGGAAAATTTGATAGTCAGTGGTTATCCATTTTGAATTGGCTGACACAGTTTAGTATATTGTTGGACTTGTATAAGGCTGTGTGCGCGCGTGTGTGTGCACGCGTGCAATTATTATACTTGTGATGCAGGAGACAGGGTAACTGACAGTTAATCTCCCTTTAATTTAAGAGAGTGTCATCGAAAATTGACCCTTGGTTAAAACCCTGAATGGCGGATGCTTATACATTGTGATCATTGTGTTTTAGATTGTAGCTTTATAGTATCTTTTAACCCAAAGTCGCCACAACTAACACTTACTCACGACCCATTGATTACATTAGACTTTACAATAATGATATCAAAGACTATATAATCTGATTTGTGTGCTGTTGATGACAAAATGAAGAATTTTTTTTTGTTCTGGTTTTACAGTCTGCATTAATGTATCTTTTGCTGAGAAAATAAAGCAAATTTTAAGTTTAGCATTGTTTGTGTCTTTGATATCATTGTACCATCTTGATTGTTTTTTCTCAATATTGCCCATTCAGTAGCATCAAACAAAATACTTGAATTTCATGATATGAATAATGTTTTGCTTATTTCAGTGGTTTTATCGAATGCTTCCATTTATTTATTTTCACAATGTCATTACAAAGGTGCACAGTAAATTGCTTGGGAATTTAACCAAAAAAGAATTAGTATTCAACTAATTTTAAATTATACTCTTTGCTAGCTTAAAAGGTTGTGGGGACAGCATTTGTATGTTTATTTAAAGAAAATGTGCATTATATTTTGGGATATAACACAATTTTTCCACCACCAATTTGGCATGGAAAGACAGTCCCAAATTAATGCTAATTATTAATAGAAAGAATTATGTATATATGGGAAGTTTGCTACTTTTAGTTATCTGTCTGTTCACTGATATTCAGTATTACTTAAATAAGCACAGATTGGGGAGCAGACAGATTTAGTAACTTTACTTTTATTTAATTGTGTCTGCAGTACTTTTGTTTCTAACATTAAAGGTTTTGCTTTAGCATAGTTCTCCTGTCTTAGAAAGAAGTACATATATTTTGGATTTTAAAAAAATACGTGATTTGAAAAAAAAGTCTAGCATTGATCAACACAAGTAATCTAACAATTTGCTGATTGATGAATTTTCATAATGTAATAGCAGAGGAAGTGAAATTCTCATAAAACCATTGATCACAATCATAAGCTCATTATAGACACTATTCGCTACCAAAAAGGATAGCTTGCAGTTATGGAATCGCAGTTAAGGTATTAGATAAGAAACTTTTGAACATGCTTTTTCTACTTGTCCACTGAACCCTGTCTGAGCCAATTGATTGGTAAGCATCATCTTTCATTCCAGAGGCTCAGATAATGTGCTCTGTTGTCCCTCCGTCAATACACTCTGGTTGTGACTTCATGTTGATATTTAACCATATTTCCCTGTTACTTCCCCAGTTGTTATTATTTTACTGGATTCTGTGAGAAATGCAAAACCTTAATCAATGAAACAATGCAATTGAAGTGAGCAAAATGTTACCATTATTATTAGTACTAAGGAGATTACCTTATTGGGAAACAAATTATGTGATTTTGAAAAAAATCTTTATACTTAAGATAATGCTGTGCTTAATTTGACAATAAGCACAATCTCCCAATGTCCTATGCATAACTAGATATTGGTCAAGTTTTATAAGCCTCTGGTTATATTATTATCAATTTTACGTGGTCTTTTGAAGATAGTGGATATCCAATCAGATTACGATTCTAAGGCTTTCTTTACATCACTGCTTATTGATTTTTGAGTGCGGTGTGTAGTGTCTTTCCCTTAATTGAGTTTTCCCTCCTCTTGCTGCCAATTCACATGACAAGTTGAACTGGAGGAAAGTGGAACCTGTTACTTAGTTTTATGATGGAACTTGCGGTAGTAAGTTTACCACAGCTTTCTTCTCATCATCTTGTTGAGTCTGAATTAGAACAAGTTAGTGCTTGCAATGGGAATAATACTGCTTCCACTCCACTCAGTTCTCATGATGTTTCTAGCAAAGATGATCACTCTCGATCCGAAGATGACAATCAAGGTTGGGCATTATTTTGTAATTTTTTATTTGTTTGTATTTATAAATATGATTATCTTTTATTTTTTTCATCACCCTTCTTCTGTCTTTGTGGACTATTTTTTGAAAATGTGCAATTGTTAGTTATAATTCTTTTGAAAACTTTAAAATACTGGTCCAGGACCTATGTTGGTGTATCTGTGTTATCTGAAAGTGCATTTGGATACTATTCTGTGTGATTTCAAAATTTTATGTATGCACAACATTTTGTTTGACACATTTTATTTATTTATTTATTTATTTATTTATTTATTTATTTATTTATTTATTTATTTATTGCAGTGTGTGTTTGTTTTTGAAGTCCATGAATTATGCTTTTGACTGAAGGGTTGTAAATCTGAAGTGAATATTATAAAACTTTTTTTATTAAAAAAAACAAAGGAATCTGTTATATCTTAAGTAGGCTAATTAGTTTGAATGTAACTTAGAATATTGGTTACAGTAGCATGTGCATGGTATCATTGTTAATGCATCGGTACTTTTTGGAGTGCTAGCTCATTAAGTTGCATGTAGTTGCATGGGGAACTGTGTCTTGCAATTCTAGCAATTATAACATGTTTGGTCGCATGAATAAGAAGGAAAACTGTTTAATTATATGTATTAGACTTTCCATTCTTCATATATTATTACATAGCCTGGTATCTGAAGGAGAGAGGAAATAAATTTGCCCCTAAAAATGTGATTGTCCTCAGAGACCTCTTCACGTGCACACCCTGAGTTTCACAGGCCTGGTAAGTCAGCATACCTGTGCCCTTTCCAGTACCAGTAGAGAGAGGAGTTCCCAGTGGCCTTTGGGACTCGGCGTGGGCTCATAAAATCTGAAGCAATGAAGCTTACTGTCCTATTCTGAAATTACCCATTCCAAACCAAAATCTTGACTTGAAATTTGGGCACTGGATAATTCCTTCACCAGTGGCACTGATCCAGTTATGCTGGCACGTCTGTGTCCTAGAGGTAGCTTTTTACATTCTGATTGGCCACCTTTCACACAGACTCTGAACCCATTTTGAATTGGTGTATTGCATTCAAATGCCTGTGGTAAAGGGGCTTTTGATTGCTTTATATTACGATTCCCAGATTTTGCAAATATTGATTTCAGTCAGTCATGGTTGATTGCATTAATATATGCTGTGAACCACTTGGAGAGTAATACAAAATAATCAACAGCCTGTAATAAGTACATGCATTGCAGTTAGACCAGTTCAGAGGTTGGCCCACTTGTAAATCATATTTTGTTGAAAAACCCAACCTATCCACACACCCTTTAATAAGACTCCATTTCTGAAAGATTAAAGGTAGAACTCTATAAACAGTTTTCCTTCAGGTGCATGATATCTATTGCAGTTAACCACTAAATCAGTTATCCCGATTTAACAAGACTTAGTGCATATTGGCAAAGAAACAAAATGTATTTTTTACTCCCATCACAAAATTGGTTTTACCCAAAAAGTACATTGGTACTAATTGGTGGTTGGCTATGGTGTTTATAAAAACGTGTGATATTTTTAATACTTTTTGAGAGTTTTAAATGAAGTTGGGGCATTTAACATGAGAATAGCATTCTTGGTCCATTCATATCTCTCTTTCTGTTTTACTGAGGTGCTGTATGTATTCATTTTTACATTGCAACACTTTTTCATTGGGAAGTGAGCAGAAAAATTAAATTATGCATAGATGATGTTGAGTAATAAATATATTAGAATAATAATATATAGATTTTAGCCAGTGTTGAATTTAAGATGTTTGATTGGGCCAAGTTTGCACATTTAAATTGATGGTGAAAGGTATCATATAAGCCATCCAGTTACCTGACAGTAAATATATGTTCTGTCTTACAGGTGAAGATGGCAAAAATGCCAACGAGAGACTTAGTCTCACAAATGCTGAGGGAGATACGAGTGCAGATAGGGAGATGGCTTTATATGAGGTACAGTATTCTGACCTATAGTATATCTCATTTAACACAAATCTGATTGTTTATTTCATAATTTTTTTAATTGGAGACACATTATGGAGATTTTTATAATTTTGTAAGCATTTTTAATTTATTCAAAGCACCTTTAAATTGTCTTTTTCATCGCAATAGGTTTGTTACAGGTATAGCTGCATTTGAATCAACCTATATAATATGTGTGAATTGATAAATATGCACTTCCCAAAATCTTGTTTGAGTTGTTAAAGGCCAGAACAATGAAAAAATGGTACGATGGACGTACATAGAGGCAATATTAGAGATAATCAGCAAGAGGGAAGCAGACTCACGAAAGGCGAACAGATAGAACTAGACAGCTTTGAACCTAGAAGTGGGCATTTAAACCATGCTATCAATTTCATTATTGAAAAAGAACTGAAATATCACTTTGTGATGAAAATAATAAACATTGGCTTTTCATCTTTATTTATGATTCAGTCTCAAAGGGGAAAAAAGCAGTCAGTGAATTCTGTATTTTTAACTAACTTATCTGTGACGTAAATGGGTCAAAAAGGATGACCCCTGTGGATTTTATGATGAGGTGCATAAACAAATATATATTATGCCAAAAAGTTGATGAGACCAGAACCAGGTGATGTTGGCCAGCTTTTCTGGGAATCAATTTTCATTATTGATTTCTAAGAATTCTCCCCCCAAATTCACACACAACATTGCAATTGACCTAAGGGTGTAGACAGCAGAGGACGCGTAGTAGGGTGTATAGCGTAACAGGTTACTGTAATTACAACCAGTTTCAAACTTACTTTCAGTCAATTCTTAGCTTCGGTCATTATGTTTTATAGATTGAAAAGTACTTAAAGTAGTTATCACAATGTCATTAATTTTTTTTTCAGGGGGGGGGGGGGGGGGGGGATTTTTTAAGCCAGTCTCTGGAAGAAACAGAGTTAGCTGCTGGGCATTTACAGTATAACATGTTGGATATGCATGAATCCTCTTTTAGTCTGTGAAAATTAATCCCGAAACACTACTTTCCCTTCTCATCAAACTTGAGTAGCTCCAAGGAAAAATTAACCCTGATTCTTTTAGCATTTGGGTCATATAGTTTTCATCATTTCTGAAAAATCCTAGCAGCACTTGAAAATTGTTGAATACTTGGTTTAAACAATAAGCGTCCATTTTTTGCTCAAGGCATTATGGATTTTTTCATTGAATATTTTCAGTAAATAAGTGCACTAGTAGAATTTATTGTTTGCATTAGTTATTGAAATACATTAAGTGTAGTTGGATTTTTAAGAGGTCTCATATAGTTTTGTTCAGTTGACCAAGGGACATTTTTGTGCATCCTCAAATCTAGAAGAATAGCTGAAAAATCTGTTTGTAATTGTAATTACCAATGGTTGCTTTTGTGAAATGAACAATACAGTCATTTAACCAAAAGTCTGCTTTCCCAGAGAGACCAATACTGCAGGTTTGCTCCATTTGATTTGACCAATAATGCAGTATATTGAATTACTGTGAGTGATATATGCCAAGCACAATCAGTGGAGAGTCTTAAGTATGCACTGACTCGTAAATAATTGATTGAGGTCCCTCCAAAAGAACTTAAGTCTCATGCAGGGGGTTGATTGAATGACATGCATATTACGTCAGATGATTATGTAATTAAAAGCCTCATTTTTTACGCATATACTTGTCACTTTAAAAGGGAACATCTATCGTTTATGTGTGTGTGGAGGAGAGGGGTATGGGAATAAGTAGGAAACATTGTAACTACTTCTGACTTGTGGGGGTTATGTGATATCTTTGCCATGGGTTATTTTTTCTTGCTCGTTGACAGTCTGTCAGTTGGTCAGTCTTTATTGTTTTTATAATATAAAGGTCCAGGATACATACAAAGCAATCAGTGTTTCTGGAGATGCAGATCCAAGTACGAGTGACATTTTGTAAAGATTTAAAAAGTTAGATAGGACTTATCGAGGGATTCATTTAGAAACATACTGTATACTCATAAAAGAATCAACATATTTATTGCTTTTTTTCTATTTGTTAATCTTATTAATGCAAAACACACTGACTCCAAATATTTGGGTTTTAATGAAAGCTGAGCCCATGAGAGGGCCGAGAAGGTTGTTACGTGAAATATACCTGATATTGCCCTCTGACTTCCCAATCTGGGCTCTCCATTTCCCTTGATTTAAATATATAATATATCATTTATAAAATATATCATTAATTTATTAATTCCAGGATGAGTTCAGGAATCGTCCCATGATATCACAGGTGTTGTCTAGGTTGGTAAGCTACTCTGGTGGCACAGTACCAAGTGAACATGAAATTGAAAAATCAGCAAGAAAACCACAGGTTTGTATGTATGCAAGTGTGTGTGGACATATATATATATATATATATTCAAGGGTTATGAACTTATTTTTTTTAATTCTGTGGTAGGCACTATATTGGGTAGTTGCTACAAATACTTAAGGCTTACTTTACAATGGCATCTTAGGACATGTTGGCCAAAAACCTATTTGTAGCATTGAAAATCTTTAATATCCTCTTGTTTTATTCATCTCTCTCTTACTATTCCTGGCACACTTGCAAAACACTGTTCAGATGAGATGTCTATTATCTGTTTCCTAAAGACAAGTAGTGTCTTTCGTTTTTTACCTCAAATTAGATAAAAGAATTTTGGAGAGAATATTGAAGTCTGCATCTACTTGGGCACTAGATCATTACAGTCTGACAGTGTTTCCGCATGCGTGTGTGTGAGATTATTGGCTACTTAACCATTTATGTCATTCCTTTTTATCCTTTGGTTTAATTGAATTTCTGTTTTACCTGTTGGTTTCAGGTTAGCAAGTTGGGCACCATCCTTGGCGTGTACCTCCCATGTCTGCAGAACATCTTTGGTGTCATTTTATTTGTCAGAATGACATGGATAGTGGGGACTGCTGGAATACCACAGGCTTTCATGATTGTATTGCTGTGCTGCTGCACTGTAAGTAGTACAAACAAGGTGCTATGAATGTAGAATCCAGTGAAGAATTTCATTAGCTTCTCACTGATGTTCTCTGTTACTATGGGCATTATTTTCTTAAACACCTGCCTGGCACAGTGTTAATTGCACTCTAATATTTGTGTCTGTCCTGTCAACTCCTTCAGGGGTTGAAGTGTTGTTGTAGCCTTATACTGAGGCATACAGTCTGAAATTGAAAGTAGACACTCCCCTTGGCATCTACTGTCCATTTCTGAGGAAGTATGATAGAGGGAAGGGGGAAGAGCAGAGGGGGAGAGGGCTGATTGTACTCCTTGGGAAGAAGGTCAGAGCAATACCTATAGCCACATTTCCTGAGAATGACTTGATGTACACCAGGTTATTGGAGAACAAATAACTAATCTTGGCTGTTTAGAAGAACTTTTTATAGTAAAAGAGACAGAAACCCAGAAAGTGGTTTTATAAGGTTATATGGTAGAAAAAGAAGATTTTGGTCTTAGTGGCTTGAAGAGTTTTTTCTTGTAAATTTGATGAGAAAGTAGAGATAAGTTTGACCACTTATATTTGTAGACAATTTTTTGTGACCTCTTTTATTATATTAGCAAATTTGAAAGTGGAATGTATTCTATGTAAACCAGGATACATATAGAGATTAGTAGAAGAGCTTTAGACTACCTTTCTACAATACATGCCAGAATTACATTACTGGGAAACACCTGGGACTGGCATGTTAAAGCAATATTGCTTAAGTGTTCTTTTGGAACCAACAGCATTTGATTGGGTCTTTAGTCAAGATTTTAGATCAATACAGGACTGGTTTAAGTCAATTACCTTTGTATGATTTTTTTCTTTAATGGGCATTTCATTTGTAATGGAAATTGATGAATGATACCCATTTGAGGTCATGATGTTTGTGATTGCCTAGTAGTGAATATTAATGTATTTTTTATTTTATTTATGATTTTATTGTCTTGATTGCAAATTATTACACATGGGGCTTGTTTCTCAAAAGAAGTGAAAGTTACACATGAAGCTAGAATAGATTCCCTGTAACACATATAAACTGACTCTACTAGTTTCTCAAATAAAGTCCATATGCCAAAGGTTATTATATACCAAATTCCTCTTTTAGTTTGAAAATTGATCTGGATTTTAATAATCCCTTCCTTTAAAATAAACAAATTAAAATTTCTCTTTTTTTTTTTTTTAATTACACTGACTACTATGGGTCTATTTTAAATTTTTTTAATTTATTGTTAAGTAATTGTTTTGTAACTCAAACAGTACCTTTCTTGTTATTAAACAAAACTATTGCTATAGTGCAATCTTTCATTCAATTTAGATTACTACTGATTTTATTTTAGGCTAAGGCAGACTAAAATTGTGGTCTAAAAGCTAAGTCTGTAGACCAGTCTTGGGGCTTGCATTCTTTTGTGAAACAGGCCCCTGCATCTAACTTAAAGACTGTATAGCTAGCATGGGTAACAAGTGTGTAAAATCCCCATAGTACTCCATAAGCTTTCCCATGATGATATAGGTTATAGGAAGTAGTGTGATATACCAGGCAAGCTCTTAATATTAATTTTGTTGGAAGTAAAAGAATGGTTGTTGGTTTCCATGTTATCAAATTAACTTTGAATTCCCCAGACTTCTTATTGCCTGATAATTGTCATTTGTTATTTTATACAACATTTATCTCTTATGTGGTTAATGCATTTTTATTTCTAAGTGCTTTTACGGAATCTGTTCTTCCTTTAGTTCTGTACTTATTAAATTATTGATTTTTTTACCCTACACTTATTCTCTTTAATGACAAATTCAACCATTCGTTTTCCATTATAATATTCTCAGTTATGATTAATTCATATTCGTAACTGGCTTTTAATGTTCTTTTCAGACTTTGTTGACTTCCATATCTCTGAGTGCTATAGCGACCAATGGGGTGGTCCCAGCTGGAGGAGCGTATTTCCTTATCTCCAGGAACCTGGGGCCAGAGTTTGGTGGGGCTGTAGGTATCCTTTTCTACCTTGGGACCAGTTTTGCGGCAGCCATGTACATTATAGGTGCTATAGAGATTCTTCTGGTAAGTTTAAAGATGAATTAAGAGCAAGGCGTGCTTACATGTGGAAATTCTAGTTAAATCAAGATCAGCAGTTTGCTAGATGGCTTATTCTGGGATTTAGGAAAGTGAGGCACAACAAGGGGGATCCCTGTTCGCCTTTTCATCTTTTCATCACTCAGGGGATGCGTGCACTGAAATTTCAGTCTATTCCAATTAAGGACAAATGCATAACTATAGTTATGATAGGTATTTCTCTTTTTAATTACTTGTTTGGTGTTATTGTTGATATTATAATAATTATTGTTATTATTGCTAACTTTTCAGACATTGAATTGTAAAGATATCCATGTTTTTATTTCAGAAATACATGGCCCCAGTCATACAAATCATAACTGACAATGACCCAGAGACAACATATGATCTGGTGAACACCTACAGGATCTATGGCACTATATTGCTGGTGATCTTGTTCTGTGCTGTATTTGCTGGTGTTAAGTTTGTCAGCATGGTGGCAGCACTATCTCTAAGCTGTGTCATCCTATCCATCTTGGCAATCTACATTGGGATTTTTGCAGCTAATCCAGATGGTAGTGTCAAGTAAGTGAGACTCTTTACCAACTAATCTGTGATTGCTAGCCTGGGGACATTTTTTTAAAGGACTTGAGACAGGCAGTTGGTCTAATCTTTTAGACCAAAATTTCAATCATTTTTGACCCACGAAAATCAGAAGTTGTCTGAAAAAATAAAACATGGTGCTGGAATTATAAGAAAGAAATGACCTTAATTTTAGACCAGTAGTTTTTATATTTTAGCAGACTGTTGCACACCTATCCTGATTTGAAGTACACCAAAATATTAGAAATAAAAATTGTGAAACTAGCTGTAGGATTTGATGTTAGAGCAACAATCAGATTCATATTAAAATAACTGGAAGTCTAGACCTAACTACCTAATAGCAAGATATTGTTAGTTATTTGTATGTCTTTGAGGCAATGTGGGTGTCTCAGTGCAGATGTTGATATTAAGAGCAGCATTGAAGTCGCTGGGGACATTCATTTCCTTAGCGCAACACTTCCATTTATTTGTTAGAGACTAATAGAAGTAACAACCTTACATCTAGCCAGATATAAAGCCAGTCTGATGGTATTTGATACAAAACTATTAGGTAGTGCCATGTGAGTACAAAAGTGGCCTTTATCTGTCAGTCGAGGTGCAGCAGAGGTTGATCTAGCCTGCTCTTGTTACAGCACATTATCTTTTCTCTTTATCAGAGGGATTTTTAGCACAAATGCATTCTGACGTTTTAAGTTAACTATATCCTATGGGATAGACAACTTTACATTAAGTTAATTTTTGGAATATGATATTGATACATTTAACCTTAGTATGGTTTTTTTGGTGCTGTTTGCTTCCATACTGAGTGGTATCATTCCATTTGCAGAAAGAGCAGGCCATGTTGATAATTATACTAGTTAAGGTTCCACCCAATAGTCTGTTTATCATTAATTATAAAATTTTGTAATGATTATTATATAAGCAGTGTGTTTAGGTTTGCTTTCAATTAGAAAGGAAAATTAACTTGATTTTGAGAATCATTCACATCATACAGATGACAGTTGGTTGAATAATGTTACTGTCAATGAAGATTGCTATCTCATAAATAACATCAATTTTTTCCTCCCAGAGTGTGCTACCTAGGAGATAGAATACTAGCTGGTCCAGTGAACTGTACTAAGGCTGAGGGAGGCCCTATTTTCAATAACTACTGCCCTGGGGGTAACTTCTCTGCCTGTGACCAGTACTTCCTGGACCATGAGACCAGAGAGATAGCAGGAATACCAGGCTTGGCCAGTGGAGAATTTCATGGTAATAATATGTATATATGGGCATCCTTCTGTAGAAGAATTCTTTATTATCATATGGGTAGTGTTATCATTACATTTATTACATTTTTTTACGTTGATATTTTAGGAAGATAATATGTGTTACATGTTTTGTGTACATAAGACCTAGAAGTGTTTGGAAATATTGCCATGGCCTGCTTCTGTCCTTAGAAATGTTCACATTCCTGTTTACTGCCATGACTGAAAAGTGACTTTGCCATTTAGCTTTTAACACTGAAATGTAGTTTACCAAAGGCCTGCAATATGGGCCAAATTTGACAATTATCCCTAATATTTTTTGTCACGTTTCTTTATTCTAGATAATGTGAATGGACCATACTCCAGATTGGGCTATGTGGTTGGCAGCGACACAGATGAAGGGGACAAGGGTCGAGGTGAAGTCATCTCAGATCTTACCACCACGTTCACCATACTGCTTGGTATCTTCTTCCCCTCTGTCACAGGGATCATGGCAGGCTCCAACAGGTCTGGAGACTTGGAGGATGCACAGAAGTCTATCCCCAGAGGAACCATAGCGGCTGTGCTTACTACATCTTTTGTTTGTATCCTTGCAGTGTGTATTTTGATACATTTAATATGTACTGGGAACTACTGGGTTGATATCGTGTGCTGCGAAGGCCATATCTGCAGTTTGTGATATGATAAGGGTTGGAGACCGTTTGTTATTTTCACTTAAAATGTCTTCTTGTCTCTCTGACTAGAATTTCCTTTCTAAGCCATCCCTGATGAAGTGCTTCTGTGTTGTTTCAATGTTGTCCACTGATTATTAACGTACCTTGACTTGCTATTAGACCTGTCCAGTGTTCTGTTTTATGGTGGTGCAACTGATGGAGGTCTACTTAGAGACAAGTAAGAAGCATGCCCCTTATTATGACATATATTATATCTTTAACCTTTTTGACAGTAGTTAGATTATATAATTTGTCTTTGTGGGTTTATGTAAGCTAGTCTTGCCAACTGAGCATATCAGGATGATTTAAGATTTTAATACTAAATGATAAAATTAGCTCTTTTGAACAATGTGAAAACAAGTTGAGCACCAGTAGGATACATAAATTTAAGAGTAAAGCTGAAGTGTGCTTGTAAACTCACTCACTCTCACTCTCTCTCTCTCTCATTTGTTGCACAATGTGAGATGTGAAAAGTAAGCATTTGGTGTAGTCTGTGATATGTTGCACATAATTCCAGTTGGCACTTAACATTTTATATATTCCAGGTTTGGTGAAAGTATAGGCGGAGACTTGGTGGTTGCCAATCTAGCCTGGCCACACCCCTGGGTCATCATCATTGGCTCCTTTCTATCCACTGTAGGTGCTGGACTACAAAGTTTGACAGGTAAAAACTGTGTAATGCTACATGTATCTCAAAGTTTATATTGTTAAGAATAAGTGCCTGTTTCTTCAAGTGTGAGTGTGACACTGAAAATTGCTAGTAAAAGATGTTCAGCTTATGTGTAAATGCATTGTAATGTGTGTTTGTATGTTACTTTAAATGCCTGCTCGTTCTGGTGTTAAGATCACTTGTCTTTAATGTCAGTATCTATAATTTATGGGTGTGGTTTTCTCAAGTCACATCAAAAATGGGAGTGTCTGTGCATATTAGTAAGTTTTGGGGTGTCATTGCATGGATAAAAAGTATTTTAGTAAGATTTACTTATATCCATATCCAGTCAGTCATTATTTGTATAATCTTAATACAAACCCTTGTATTTCTTTTATACAATTACAGGTGCTCCAAGACTTCTACAAGCCATTTCAAAGGATGGCATCATTCCTTTCCTAAAAATATTCAGCGTGGCCACCAAGAGAGGGGAACCCCTGCGAGCCCTGTTGTTAACTGCCTGCATCACAGAAATTGGGATCCTCATTGGAAATCTGGATTATGTGGCCCCAATTATTACAATGTAAGGCTAGTGGAAGTGTGGTGTGTGTTACCTTAGAGCAAATGCAATGCAACATAATACTCTTTCAGTCAGCTGGTGGTCAATAGTTTTGAAAATCTAATTGCAGCTACTGCGTTGTTGTTGGATTTAAGTGTTACAAAGGAAGTCGTATTATAGTTAATATCCAGATGTTTTGTAGATAAATTCAGAGGAAACAGTTAACCTACTTATTAGTTGAAACAAAAATGATATATCTTAGTCAGTTATACTTATGTTTATTTAATAAAAGTTTATTTAATCTTTTGGAGAAAATAGTCAGTATTTCAAATATTCATTGTTAAGCTTCCTTTTCATTTCTTCCCAGGTTCTTCCTGATGTGCTATGGCTTTGTGAACCTGGCCTGTGCCCTGCAGACACTACTGAAGGAGCCCAGCTGGAGGCCACGTTTTAGGTTTTATCATTGGTAAGTAAGAGAAAGAGGTGTGTGTGTGAGCATTAGAATTAGTAGAGAATTTGCAGCTTATTGCAAAATTTTGCTTACAGCACCTGTAAAGTACTTATTAAAGCCATTTGCCTGCAGTTTTTTTTTTTTTTTTTTTGAACTTTATTTAAAGAGGGTAAACATGTTAAGCGTAAACTTTTTTTCCACATGGCCCTCTGTTACCAGTCATTCAACAGCACTGGCTTTGTTCCCTACTTCAACCTTTAAGTGCTGAGTTCTAAGCAAGGAGACAGTAGGTACTATTTTTATGATGGTCTTTGGTATGACCCAGGCGAGGATGGAATCCATGACCTACTGCACCGGAGGCGAGCGCTCTACCATTTGAGCCATCCGGTCAGTTAACATGAGGACATGAGGCCCTCAAAACACTAATTCTGAATCAGTAGTATTTTGTAAAGTATATTATACATTTTTGTTTTAAAAATTAGGACGCTGTCACTGCTGGGTGTGGGGATGTGTATAGCTCTCATGTTCATCTCCAGCTGGTATTATGCACTGGTTGCCATAGCTATTGCTGGGTGCATCTACAAATACATTGAATTTAAAGGGTAAGTTCAGAAATGGATTTAACAGTAAGTAAGTAAACTCACAGATGTTAGACAGATGTAAAGGCATGTGTGCAGAAAGACTGAGTGAAGACAGTCTAGCAGGCAGACAGCTAGACAGACATGTATAAGGAAACTAAGTGAAAATACTATGTTTTAACATTTACAGTGCTGAGAAGGAATGGGGAGATGGTTTCCGAGGGTTAGCCATGTCTGCGGCCAGGTACTCTTTACTCAGGCTAGAAGATGGACCACCACATACCAAGAACTGGAGGTAACAATAAATCTTATATCACAGAGCCTCATTGATTACAGGAACTATCATTGTGCTTGTATTTGCATTGTTTTTAGACTTAACCCGAATGATTTGTTCCTTATGTTAGCACCATTTAAGGGTCTTTTGTGATTTTGTTGTGATTCTGAAAAACTTTTTAGCATAAAGTGTTTTTCAAAATAATTTATGATAATTGCTCTTAACATTAATGTTAATTGTCATTCTTTTTCTTAAAGAAAGATGTGGTTAATAAAAGTTTGATGATGGTATCAATTACAGTTTACAATAAACACTTTTGTTTAAAATATTAAATAAGATATATTGAAAAGGAATTACTACAGAATTTTTACAATTTATTATTTGGAGAAGAACGTGTTCATATTTAACTGAAAATGCATTTAGCAGCATGAACCTTGTGTGAGCGACATTATTTCCCTTTCCTTATGGTACTAGTATGTGAAGCATGGTACTTTTTAGTCCATGATTAAGCCCTGAAAGCATAGATTGTCTTTCTGATAATTATATGCATAAAGTGCAGCGCTGAATAATGCTCCTGTGATTCATGAAGTGCATTTACACCATGGTGGATGTAGAGAACAAAAGACTCAGATGTGGTGTATTTTGTGCATGTATGTCATGCATAATTGCCACATACAGCTATACTTTGGTCTTTTCTTCTCAATAGCTGCCTTATGATTGATATAAGTCATATATATGCCTCTCATCAACAAAATGTGTGACATCCACTTTGCTTTGGACTCCTGTATATCAAATTAATGAGCCTGACTTGTGGTGAATCTATTACTGATTACTTTCCACCTCTCCATGTTTTCAGACCTCAGCTTCTTGTCCTCATGAAACCCACCTCTGGCCTGCAACCTAAATATCCCAGAACACTGGATTTTGCCCATCAGCTGAAAGCAGGTAAATTGTACCATGCAGATGGTCCAGATTGCTGGCCCCATGTCTTGTACATGTTTTTTTACCATCCATTTTACTGGTTTACATATGTTTGCGGTGACAACTGCCATGCTTGATCTATTTGCTATATTACAGTCAGTAATGGCAAGAATATTTTAGAATATTAGAATGATTAGAAATGTTCTAAAAATCATGAATTATTATATTTAAAAAAATAAAATATAAAAGGAATTACCCAATTCTCATTTGTAGTAGCAAATGTTGGTGCCCTCTATTTGTAGTTCTGGTATTTTGCTAAAAAGATTATTGCACTATTCAGAAAACTTGAGGTCCTATGCAATGTTGAAATGATTATGAGCGAAGTGTTGTATTATGTGTTTGCTGTGTCCTATTGTTTTTTTATTCTAATTATTATTAAGAAAAAAGTATTGATCTTGAGATCTTGGTTTCGCAGTGATTTGATTTTTCTCTCACTTGATTATGTGTCTTATTACACTTGGTGGAAGTGTTTTAATTTTTTTCTCACTTGAATGTGTGTCCTATTCCACTAGGGAAAGGCTTGACTCTGGTTGCCTCTGTGTTAGAGGGAGATTATCATGAGAGATATGCAGATGCACAGGCTGCTAAAGAGGTTGGTTCTCAATAAATTTAATGATACTTGCAATACTTCAAAATATTACACTGACTGTGATAATGAATTTGCTCTTTAGCTTTTGTCTACAAAAATTTTTTTGGCTGCACATGCTGCCACTGAGTTGTGTATTCATAACATTTAAATAATTGCTAGTAAAGGGAAAGCATTTGCTTTCATGGACACTATGCTTATAGTTGTTATGTTTTCAAACAAATTTCCATGTTTTAGAAATTATGGTTATTGTTACTTGCCTCCCCCTTTTGTAATAGATCCTGAAACGTGTTATGGCTGAGGAGAAAGTGAAAGGATTTTCAGAAGTTCTGGTTTCCACTGAAGTGAACCAAGGCCTGGATCACCTGTAAGTTGAAATCTGGAGTCGACCACACTGAATATTTCTTGTTAGCTCCATTGACTCTATATGGAAATAAATAGTTTTTGAAAAACATGAAGGAATAAAAAAAAATGGAAAGGGAGAGGAAAAATTTGTAAAAGCAAGTAAACACCCATGGATGGAGAAATGGGTTTGTTAATTTTTTATTTAATTCAAGATTATTTTTAAAAACAATCATGATTGGTGAAATGTTGATATTTAAATGTATGAGTATTTTTTCAAGAACAAATGAATCAAATTATGATACATAAACAATGTTATATTCAGCATACAGACAGCTGGTTTGGGTGGCCTGAAGCACAACACAGTGGTTGTAGGATGGCCATATGGGTGGAGGCAGTCAGAAGATGAGAAGTCGTGGAGAGTGTTCATCGGTAAATATGTATTGTGCATTCTGGTGGCTCTAAAAAACTGAGTGGATGGGCTGCACACACACACACTGCATTGCAGGTAGTTGAAAGTGTAAAGTTCATTTAATAAATGTTAACTTATGACTGCTTCAGTTGTCTACTTTTTAAACAAGTAAGCTTCCGTTATAATAACTTTAAATCCTTCTTTGTTCAATACATAATGATAAGTGATATGATTGTATAATGTTAGTGAATTAAATCTTATTCAGGCACAGTGCGCAGCGTGTCAGCAGCCCAGCTTGCCCTCCTTGTCCCCAAGAACATCAACATGTACCCAGAGTCCCAAAATGAGAAGTATACTGGCACCATTGATGTCTGGTGGATAGTCCGTATCCTTATGGATATGTTATTTAAGCAAAATGTGTTTTTACTGTTTTTAAGGGGGGAAAAAAGGAGAATATCACTATAAATATTCTATGTACTTCATCTGATACTGAACTTAATCCTATACCTTGTGTAGCAGCTAATCTCTCTTTCTTTCTATCATGCAAGATGCATGCTTGCGTGAACTCACTAGTATACACATGCATTTTTTGGTCACCTGTGAGAATGTTTCTATATCTGCTAATCTTCATCATTTACAGTGTCTATTGTAAGTATATATGTATATATATGGCTGATCTTTTCCATATTCAGTATGTATCACATCCTTAACTGCTGTACCCCAGATGACGGAGGAATGCTGATGCTGTTACCTTTCCTGTTAAAACAGCATAAAGTGTGGAAGAACTGCAAGATGAGATTGTTCACTGTGGCCCGTATCCTTGCTTTCTATGAAATTATATTAGCGTCATTATTCATATTTTGTTTTTAAAGAGGATGAAAATCTTTTTATACAATAATTCTGTTTATATATATATATATATATATATATATATATATATATATATATATATATATATATATATATATATATATATATATATA